CTCTTAGTGCGGGTGCATCTGTAGATCTGATAAACTTTTCAAATACACATTGCGTTATTAAACTGACAGTGATTTTGATTTATCAATTATTGAGTGCGATATTATTGTGTTCGGTGCAGTTTATTTTATAACGCTGATAACAATGAATCAACAAATTATGAAGGGAGAAGCTGCAGATACTGCAAATACTAGGTTAAGGGTGCTCATGTACTAAATGCCTGTTCGAGTTTCGCCTTCWTTTAAATTTMCAATTAAAGTTYACACMCAATTATACACACTAAACCAGTTTAAGTGCAAAAAATGCGGATCGTCCATCAATTTGCAGMAAAATGTATTACAAACTTGAAAATCATCTTCAAACGACCGKGTATTTATCATTGCAAATGAGATTGCACATTGCCGTGTATTGTTAAATATTGTTTTAARAACYAACAATCGATGTTGTGCAACAAAATTGTGCCTAAGATCCACTACAATAAAGTGTTTGAAAAACTGTTGGACCTATTTTAAATCGCCTGATTGATTGTGRACCCAAAATCGCATCAAGAAAAGATTAAATTAAATCGTATCGATAGAATCCCGGTACCGATTCCCTATGTCTTACTCTCCGTCTGTAGTCCAGATGCTGCCCAGATGATGTCCATTTGCATTGTATTGCACGATTCAATGTTCCGAACTGGTAAAATATTACTACCTACTTGTTTAGTGCTTTTAATCGGAAACAATTGTTAAACCAGATGTTGAGGTTGAGCGAATATTTTCTAAAGAAGGCAGGGTCAATTTATAAAAAACGCTCAAGATTAAGTGCAAATAAAGTGTCACAACTATTTCTAATAACATTTAATGCAATTATATGTTCTATTATTTGTTATTTTATTTTGTAACAACAAATTATCAATATTTAGATATCTATTTTGTAATCTTTCATATTTAACATGAAACGATAAACATCATTACTGTTTTGTAATAATATGTAATAGATATGTTTTGAATTTAATTGAAAAAATATTTGAGTTTACCTCGGTTATTTAAAAAAACATGGGTTTTGTCTTCTTATTTTCTATCACGCAACGCATTCTTGATGT